CGGCTACAAAACAATCAAACCAAAAACGGCTTGCCTTACAAGTTACGTCATCACCGCCATGTTGGATGAAAATTACAAAGCATTTCTTATTAGTTTTTCTTGTTCATTCATCAAACATGGGGGCGATAGCTTTGTCCTTTATTTCTATTTCTTAGGGGATTCCTGGGCATATCCACAAATGCCATAGAGTTAGAGGTGAAAGCCAACATGGCGCATTTGGGATGTGAAGCTGCTGAAGAATAGGAAGACGAGGCAGGAAAATGAAAGCAATGCATTTGGCGATCGTTTCCGTACATCTTTTTCCCTCCCCACTGGTCCCGCCACACCCTTTTTCGTCTTAGGAAAGAGCTACGTAGCCTAGATGTGTTAAAAACGTGTTACTCATGTAAACGGACAAAATAAAACGATAAACGAAGGGAGGAAGTTTTTTGTGCAAATATAATAAGAATATTAAGACACTTGTAAGTGTCGTCAAAAGACTTTGCCTCGTGTCAGTGGTAACCAAAGTCTCACATGATACTACATGTGATACAGAATATACAGTAAGCAATATCTGTACATATTGTTTGTTATGGCATAAAATATCAGGGTTTTTTGTTGTTCATAGAACAAGTTAAATGGTCATTTTAAGGAAATCTTTGTTCATTATGGCCACTTATTTTCTTCGCCTCACTCTATGCTTCTATGGCTAATCATAGTCTCACAGACTTWTAGGACTTGTATAATCTCAGCCCTTCTTGTAACGAGAGAGGGGCATATTTCAGCAGCTTTCTATCTATAAGATATGCGTGATACTCGCTTTTTACACCARCATGCTGTAGATGGATGTCACAGTAAGTTTTTCTATTGCTTCAAACGGTTTTTATTGTAGTGGCGACCGTTGGGACGTTTGCGGTAGTGCGTCKTGTTGTGCTGTTCGCCGCCAGCTTTAGACCGGAAACCACCACTCTCTGAAACGACAAATATCATGAATGAAAACCAAGCCCAATTTTAATTGATATATTGATCGTATTTGTGAGAAGCTGAGGAATCAATTATTGAGTTTAGGGCGCCCTTAAATAAGCATTACTGAAATTTATTTGCGATAGATAAGTGAACAATATGATACATTTGAAAGTGTTGTACATTATATTAGAGTCAACGCACCTTTACCGTGAAATATCACCAAAATAAACAGTAACTATTAGTGACTATTTACTGACTAATTAGGGACTGCGCAATATTTATCAGGAAGGGGGGTGGGGCAACATCTAATATTATGTGCTTAAAGAGGGGGGACAACGTCTAAAATTAACTAGAACTTTSATTGGAAACTGAAAAATCAACGTATGAGATTCGAAAACTACTCAAGAAAAGTGTAAATATTGCGCAGTCCCTTACTACTTCTTTTTGCTATCAGCTTCCTTAATCGTTTAAAGGGACACTGTCAATGGGTGACATGCGCAGTAACAGTCTCGTCTCTAACGGACTTTGAAAGTATTACCTTCGTGGTAAATCATTTTGTGGTGCTTTTGACAAACTTTGGAATATTCTAGATCTGTTTAGGTTTACGAGCTGATTTATGTCGCGCCAACTTGGAGTCATAAACTTGAAAACATTGTTTTCAAGTTTACTCGCGCATGCGTGCCATTGACAGTGTCAATTTAATCAAATGCAATCATATCAGACTGAACCTCGTTCCCATCCCTTCGATGGAGTTCACSATAGGACAAGCGAAGGGATAAGAGCCTGGTAACGAGGTTGTATTAGAGCACCTTATAATAGACAATGTGCATGACGATAGTTTGCAATGCAACACGATGGGAGCTGTAGTCCTTACACTTTTCATAATCCCTAACAAAATTTCCTAAAAGCCTTTTTTAGTGATTCTTTATAAAAACGGCACAGTTATTTTTCTTTTTTGAAGATAAAACAGCTTATAAAGCTAGACATTCGGGACATGAAAAAATGCGAGGACKAACAACTCCGTGACATCATGCTTCGTCGCACAAAACAGCATCGCTGCACATTTTCTATTGAAAATTATTTTGTTGAAAAAGGCAACGAGGGTGCTGCAAAATTAAACTGATGGAAAGGGCTTGCTTTGAATAGACTTGAAATTATATTTATAGCCTTTTTCATGAATTCTGATAAAAATTGAGAACAACAATATGTTACTGCTTACACTTTAAAATCATTGCTAGCATTCCCTTCAATCGGTATTCAGTGACATTTCAGCAGAAATATTTTGCGAATTTTGTTTCAATTTTTACCATTTTTCACAGTGCACCCATTATATATTGTGTACAGATAGGAATAGATATAAGTTGAGTTTAACATAATTGTTGAAAAAACGTTGTCTATATATCGGCTATACGAGTATGAAAATCATGAAGTAAAATATTTAAAAAAGATTCTGAAGTAATTAGGCAAAGGGAATGCATCCTACTGTCGACGTCCAAAACCTTCTCACAGCTTTCGTTGAATATTTGARCTTCYWAAAGTTCACAAGCTTAGGGCGTTTCAGCATCCACTAGAAGTATTATTGTGTAGACTGGGCGATTTGATATGTGTTTGTGTTGTATTCACGTGAATGTTTTCGTGTGTGATTGTCCCGTGGAAAAGGCAAGTTTCGGGATAAAAAGCATGGTCGTGTTTGAGAGAGTGTGATTTTGGGGCTGGTTTGTACTGTCAGAGAGTCGTCGAGATTCGGTCTCTGAGAAGTTTGCCTAAAGACGTTAGCTAACCTCCCGAACTTAGAAGTATAAAGGACATATCTGTAGTCTGTTACATAGAAGAATAAAGGACATAACTGCGATTGTAAAACAATTGTAAAACAATTAAATAGACAGGGAGGTTTGACAGGTAGGAGCAATGTTACTGTTACATGCATCAAAATACTACTTTCGCATTGCCTTTCTTTTTTATTGAAGGTGTCCGTTTAGTTATGTGGATTATTTTAAACTTGAAGTAAAAAAAAAAAAGAAAATGAAATAGGTATGTCACTAATAGAATCAAGAGTCAAGAGTCAAGTACACACTTAAATACACCTTTTATAGTACGCCCTWATTCTATTGTTTTCTTTTGTACATATTTGACTATCACACTTTAACAGTTAGATTTTGTTTCACGGGTTTAATGACCTCTCTCTCATGACTGTTAGTCATAGTTTGAAAAGTTTGCTACTTTTGCGGTTTGTTTTATTGTTCGACAACAAGGCGCGCCAGAAATTCAGACAGTTCACGACTTTGTAACTTTCAGTTCAAATWGTTGACATTTCTCTTCGAATACTGACGCTAGTAACCGACGCTAATCGACGCTAGTAACCGATCAAAGAACAAGTGTGGTTATAATTATAAACAGGCCAAAAGTACGCTTTTATATTAAAGACACTAAATGGGTGGAATATAACCTGCAGCACCAATACTAGTTAACTTGAGCACATTCGAGGTTTTATTATATATTTAAATYAAAAACTGAAAACGTATTTAACGACACAACGTTCTTTCATATATAATTATTTGGTCACTCGTGAGAGATCTTTTCAAAATCAGTATCTCCGTATCATGTAATGCCCTCTGCATAATCTATTTTAACTAGGTTTTTACTTAAAAACTTACTCTAATCTCTATTGTTTGTATAACTGTTTGTCTTTGAAGTTTCATTATTCCTTGAAACCTCTGCACTGGATCCTTATAAACATTTTGTTTTATTGCATCTCCGCAATCTAATATGTTACCTAATTTGTATATTTCTTTCGAACTGAATATGTTGTAAAATACAGCATAACACTATAAAAGAAAAAAATAACTTTATGCACTTACAGTTCTTATATCTGTTTCTTCCAAAACGGGTCTGACTGCATGCTTAGTGTTTTACATAGAAATCTAATGTTTGCTGTAAGGTTTTTAAAAACTATTCAATGCACAATGGGGACCATGTGATCAGTGTCTGTCTCAGACTATCCTAGACTGCGCCCGAGGCAATCGCGGTTAAATTCTCTCCCAAGTTTTGCCGTTTTGATGTCGGACACAACTGGAAAAATGCCCAGCCACAATGCAATTAAAACCTTATATTTTTACATGTACAATACTCCATGCATGTTAATGCTGYAATCCTCTTCCGTATGCGATTTTCTGTCCTTGCTCCAGTGTGTTGGTCTATCGGGTGACTAGTTGCTTTTCTATATTTTTGTATATTATCTTTTCGCGGTTTATTTATTTAATAAGAATATGTTTAGAGAAACATAATATAAGAAACGATAAAGATAGAAAACACACGGTGTTTTGGTTTTTGTAATTGCGACGTTTCGGTGTCGAAATAATAAATTTACATGCATCTTCACTTGCTTGATAATGACGATACGCAATTACAAAAACCAAAACACCGTGTGTTTTCTCTCTTTATCGTTTCCTATTTATTTAATGGTAGGCTATCCATTTTTTTGCAAAATCTTTGACACTCTTGAAATTAAGCGTCAGTCAGACTAGGGGAAACAGAAACAAATCAAAACTAAGTGAAAATATATTATCATCAGTGCAAAACAATTATGGACGAAAATCCCTTAGATGCCTAAATGTCATTGGATTTGGATGAATTTCATTCGTTATTGATGCATAGATAGAGTGARCTCAATAGAACAGTGAAATAAAATTTGACCATTAAGTGTATGATAGTTAAATAAACAAAAGAGAAAACAATGCCATTAGAATCCAGTAAGTTGTATTATTTAGTTCTTATTTCTAAAAAAAATATAACAGGACCGCTGTCAGTAATACTCGACGAATCAAACATATTACMTATTTTGTCTATATCCGATGACACCGAACCTTCTGAAAAGAACATGAAATTTCCWTCTCTATATTATTATCAATCATTTCATTCTCATTCCATTCTGATCAGAAAGGATTTTTTCTTAAGCAGGATTTTGTTGTTTTAATGACTTTAATGCTATTCTGAAGGGTCTCCTAAGACACTCATCGCTATTTAACGCTTATCAGCGAATTTAGATGATTTGATTTCAAGTGACCTTGTTCWCGTTGTGTTAGTCACCCCTTGCCAGACTTTAAAACTTGATACTACAATGGAGAATCTGCACAGACCTCTATTAACATATTATTAACTTATCATGAAGTAGTATATTTAATAAGCTTAGTTTTGTAAGAAAAAGCATTGAAAAAGCTTATTTGCAAATCTGAGAWTGAAATTTTGTAGCAATTGAGAAACAGACATTGAATACCAAAATCATCGATCTATTAACATATAACACAAGCTTGAATTTCCACGCAGTTTGCCTATTCAAGTAGAGTAATTTCTTATTGTTTCAAGCTTCCCTGCTGTTTTAAAACAGCTTTATGAAAACAATGATGCACCCTTTCGTGAGAACGTGATAATATGAGTCGACAATCCATTTATGAAGTGTTAACTYTATTAGTGCATAGTGACATAAACAGCTCCAAGCACAAACATGTTTTTAGAGATCATTGCTTGAGGTGGAGRTTTTAGCTCTCGGCAATTAATACTCTATGCAAAGGGCTAATATTAAAGCRGTACAGCATTGGATTATGCTTGGGTTAGGTGCAAATAAATTAGGTTTTATAATTGAGGGCATTTTCAAGATCAAGAATAAGATTAGAAAAGAATCGTAAGACGACGTACGTACAAACCATTAAACCTTACTTCTGAGTACCCGCGAAATCCAGCTCTTGATCCACTTCCTTTTCAGTCTGTTCTTTTTTGYTCTTGATTTTGAGTTGCGACGGATCTTTTCTGTTAGTAATACTGTCGTAGATGGTTTGTTACTCGCTGGCTGTGGCTTTCTGACAAGACCTTTGCTCATGACGACTATGACTGCGTCGCATTGGGCTACCATGTGGCCAATTACAAGATGTAAAAACAACACAAGACAAGTTATCGACGCGATACGGAAGATCTGCATGGCGATAATGCCGAGATTAGGACAATATCTGTCACAAGGGATACTGCCCGGACGCTTCAAGCCTTGTCTAATGAACTCTCCCCAAACGAAGGACGGGCRAAAAGGTCATCATTTGAATTTGAAAACTCTCATCTTCCACGAGATTCATTTGATTGCTTCTTGCATTGATTTTCTTTAGTAATCTGTGTACTTGCGTTTCCGGTAAAAATTCCATGGAAAGAGGTTTGTGTCATCATRTATAATCCTGTATTTTTGTGTCTGGAAGATGATCTTGATTGACAAGCAACAGGCCAATACACGCTCACCTGGTTTCCTGTATGGTGATGAAAAGATCTGTTGGACCTCAAAGTTAATCGCTTTAATCTATTTGTATGTTTGTGTCTGGCGGGGTGGACAATACCCTCTTAGAGACGACATTCATTGGTGATTGATRCATTGACAGTGGAAGCCATTTAAACGAAGAATTGATTTTCTGTGATATGAATTGTGATCATATTACAAGAGCAATGGCGGCTAGTGCTCTGAGCAAAAAMAATAAGATCAAAATAGACTGTTTTATGCTCGTGTGTAGTTTTAGATCAAATCAGTCATGTTATTCGCAACACTCCAGGATAGTACTACGCGCTGACGAAGCTGAAAAGTTAACAAAATTGCCTCTGATCCCTCTGATGTCTATTTACAAGGGTGATCTTGCACTGACAAACCATAATAGTAACTGACAGCTGACTTCTTCAAAACACACCGAGAGAAAATCTTAAAATCTCGTATGTGACCCAATGACGGCAATTTTTTTCGGGCTTCCTGCTTCAGTCGAGTTCTGAGAGCTTCAACTTTAAAATATTGAGGCTACTAAATTTCTCAGAAGTTAGCGATAGAGGAATATTGATATTTTAGAGAGCAGTTTCATTGAAAGATGACCGAAAAAACGACTTGTAATTTCCTACACTGGTTTGGCCTTCTTCCAAGGAAACATTGTAGCTAAAATGTTAGTGTTTGATTTTTTTTTTTCCTCTGTGAAACATGCAAGCTACAACGCCCGGGCCCCTCCCGAGGCCTACGACGCCCAGGTTGCTATCGCACATTTTTAAAATTCCTCGTGATAAGCTTTCATTTGACATAAGACAGTGTCACTATGCCAGGATGATACCAAATTTTTGGTGAAGTAACTGCTATTTTGACAGTCTGCAAAGCTTGGCCCAAAACTRAGGGATCATATARGGGCGTGGTTCAATTGAGGTGGGACCCTCTTATTGAAATTAAACCAGAAGAGTCTCCTGTCTGTCCTGTCCTTAACTGAACAAATTATCTTATAGCAATATGAACGCCGATTGTAAACAATAATTATCCCAATTACCGTTATATAGAATAACATTTAGTGTTCAAAAATTCAGTGTATRTCATATTTAATTAATATTGTATGTTTTATTATATGCTTTAGCGAAAGCTTGTTATACTACTATCAAGACAGATGAGCAATTGAAGAGCACGCCCAGCGATAAACGAGATCCGCTTTTTCACTAACACATGCACTCCTTCTATAACAGGCTTCACATTATAAATACACATCTTTTATAACAATGACACTTTATCAAATGGACATTCCAGCAATGAAAAATTTAACCCATAGAACTACAACATAAAAACT